TAGCCATGATACCAGAGCCTGTCTGTATAATGTCTTGTGACGTCCACGGCCTACCCCAGTTACACTACTGTGCATGTGTGTCAAGGACAGAAAGGTAGATGTGGCAGTGGAAGGTGTCAAAGCAGTTTGGAGAAAAACAAAGTAAAGAACAAAAAAAAAAAGAAAACGATTAATCGATTATTAAATTAGTTGATTATTTTAATAATCGATCAGTCGTCGATTAATCGATTAATCGTTGCAGCCCTACTTCTCAGCGCTGTGACCATGACAACACAGACTGAAGACTCCACGGCTGATTCTTCTCCAATCCCCCCTCTCTCTTTACATAATCTCGCTCTCTAGATTAGACTCAGTCTGCCTTTCTTTTATGTAAGTGGGAAACGGAAACATTAATTAAACAATAAAATAAAAAATAAATACATAAAGGCCAAAGTTGTTTGAATTCATATCATCTACATACAGTGTTTTACACATACATCATTTATGCTAAACCTGTTTTGAATAAATCCCACTAAAACTAACGGGATTAAAAACTGCAGCTTTTTTTCAATCCCAATAAATTTAAATGTGACGTCATGTGAAACAGTCAAAGAAAGGTAAAAATGTTCAAGCTTAAACAAATTATAATTTTTTAAATCTAAATAATAAATGTGGAACTTTAACAGCTACAGATATTTATTATTGTGAATCAGATGTTCTTCAACTACAGAGTTAAGGTGGAAAACTCTGAAGCTGACAAAGCAAACACAAAGCATCCAGACCGTTGTGCTGTTCGTAGGTGCGTTTGCCCAGGATGGTGGGGGAGCCGTTGTTCAGGATGGGGGAGGACTTGATGGGGGTCAAGCTGCCTGTAGAGATTGAGCCTCCACGAGTCGGCAGGTCGGGTTTGAATGGACGTGGATGTGCTTCTGTAAAACAAGAATAATGACAGATAATGAAGAGAATAATTCAAAAGAAAAGAAAACGTAACAAATAGGAATAAGTTTATATGAAAAACTAAATCTAAAAAGGCTTCCATCATGTGTATTTATTGAAAAACAATGACAATCCCTGTTGCAATTTAGACAGTTTTTGATAATAATTGTTCTTGTAGAACTGAGCCTCACGTTTTGAAGCTGCTTTAATTTGCTTTATGAAGGTGATTCTGAATGACCCGAGGTGGGATGAAAACCAACCCTACCCTGGTGCACCTTTGTGCCACAGAGTGAAGTTATGGACATGTGAAACTGTAATCCGGTGCTGTGGCTCAATGATGTGATGAATTAATGACATATGGTCTGTGCAACCATCTGGTCGTGGGATTAAACAACCACCAACAGATTACCCAGGATGATGAGGCACAGCAACTTTGTATTTAGCTTTTAAAAAAGTGTTAATCACAAAGAGACACTAAACTTCGGCCATTTACGTTTGGAAAATGAAACAAGGGAGACGTCCGTCACACATTTAATGCTTTATGCTCTACATGAACACAGATGAGTTTAGGTCCACGCTTTAAGTTCCACATTGATCGCTTCATTCCTGAAAACTCATGTCTGTGCCGGATGTGGCCGGTTATATCAAAGATTTATGAACGGCCAAAGGAAGAATCAAATTGGACTCATCTGTGCAGACATTTTGCAGACCTGTATTATGGAACAGGGTTGGGCGATTTTGGCAAAAAAATGAATCACGATTAATTGCGGGATTTAGCCAATAAGGATTAACATGACGATTAATCCCCTGGAGTTCCTTCCAAACTGTGTCAAAAGTATAGACTTCAGGCTATACATCAACTTTTAAGTTGTGTTGATAGACCAAGTAAAACCAGAGTTATGATAAATAAATTGCAAAACTTTTGTTAAAATGGTCATCATATTTGAATTAGAGAGGAGCACCAAGCGAGCTGACCAGGGAAATCCCCAGTCAGTCTGCAGGGTGGCATTAATCATATTAATCATCAAGTGACAAAACAAACAAACAAAAAAAACAAACAATAATAATCGATTTAGGTTTTTCTGACAATTAATTGCACACAATACAATTTTGCCCAACCCTATTATGAAAGCGCCTCATGATTAAACAAGGCCTGAGAATCTCAACTTTATTTTGAAACATGTTCATTTCAGAAACACATAGTGATGCTCTTATGGAGACAGATCCATCTCATAAAGGGAGTGTGCACGAGTGCACAGATCTGCCCGCCTGTTTCACATGTGCAATGCTGCATATTCAAGATTATCACATTTACTGGGTTATATGGAAAAATTACTGTAATTTCTGACTTATAGCTCATAAACCCTACAGTATATCAAAACACATATGCTTACATTGACATTACTGGGTCCCAAAACTGTTACATTGGTAGTTATTATATCATATTTATTGGTAGTTTTCCAAAAGCTATCAATAAATATATTTTCTGTTTTGAGTAGTTTACTTCAAATTTAGCCTACAGTCTGCAAAAAGATACAGGAAATTATAAGTTTCTATAAAATTTACTGGTAGTTTTTACAGAGGAACACTGGTAAATGTTTCCAGTAGCTTTTGTAGGACAAAATTTAACCTAAAAATAACTATAATTTCCAGATTTCTTGTGTGCACTTGTGTCTATTTACATTTGAAGTAAATATTCAAAATTATATTATTCTGGTAGTTTTTCTACATAAAAAATAAGAATTTTGTGGACTGTAGGCCTACAGCTGAAACAATTACCTATAAATCGATAGGTTATTCTGTCTGTGGAAAAACTACAGGGATAAAGTTATTTTACGGTGCTTCTGCATAAATGAACATGATTTAACACAGTTGTTTATACTTTTAGCAGCTCTTTTTATTCCACAGCTGACCTGCTAAAAATGACAGATTTTCTTTTCTGGATCTCTGACAGACGGACTTCAATCTCTGAACTCGTAAAGTTCTTCTTTTTAGTTTTCGCTGTCATTTTCATGAATGAACACTTCCTGATATCTGAGGCAGGAAACATAGCCTTATATGGTGTTTTTGGGGTGGTAATTATGCTAATCTCCTCTCGCGTGCACGAGCAGCTGGATACGACAGGGGGAAATTACACAGCTCATTTACACACTTTTCCTGAAGATAGAAGAGTTTGTTGAATCTGACGTGACATGTTCATACGAACCCTTTGTACGAACAAAAGTAAGAGAAATTTAGGAGAAGAATACGAACATGTTCTTGCATGAGGCCCAATGATCTCAAACACACATCAGACCTGCTTTCTGATAGGAGAAAACAGGCGAACATAAAGCTTCTGGAGCAGCACTCCCAAAGCCTCGACTTCCACCTGACTGAAAACGTCTGGGCTATAATTAAAAGCCTGTTAATCTGGTAATTCTGCCCGAGAAAAAGAGTGGTCTAATATCAGCAGGATGAATCTGTTTGTTGATGGAAACAAAACATAAGGAAAAAAATCGTTTTTAAAAACCACTGAAGTTGTATAACCATTCAACCTGGTTCAAATAAAACATTAGAAACCTCATAAATTAACATGACATCCATTCCTGAGTGTATGGAAGTGTTGGACTATAACTACATCAAAAATATAAATGATCTAGATTCAAGTAGTAGATCAAAACATGACCAAACAAACCAGAACTAAACATCCTGGTGAAAGACTTCTTCTTACCCAAATAGCGAACCACAGACTCCAGAGGTTTACGGTCGATGGGTTTGTGTTGCGGAAGCGTTTTTGGCTTATCTGGTAACCGCAGGGCACCTACAAACATTCAGTGACAAAATACAGTCATTAACAATAAAATCGATAAAGAAAAACAAAAAGAATTAGTTTCCGGCGTTTGGTATAGCAAAGAATTTTTAACATTCAAATGAGTGTTATTAGCTGTTTAATCTTGCCGATGCATAAAGTACAGAATGTGTTTATTTCATTATAAGAACTCAAAGGTTGTTCACTCACAGGTAGGAGAATCTGGGGATAATTTAAGTATGTTTGTTTGACACAGTTTTAGTCTGTACTACATACGTCACGGTTAGCGACTGGGTAAATCAGATCCAATCATTTTAAACTTCAACAGATTCCACGCTTCCAGCAAGCAATCGCTTCTCAACAGCTGAGGTTCCAGACCCTCTGTACAAAACAGAGCGGGGCTGGTTTCTACCAAGCTAGTTTTTCAGCAAAATATCTCCTAAACCAGAGGGCAAATCGTGGTGAAACAGTCAGAAAGTAATAACTGAATGTGCATCTAGAGCTAATCATCTCAACCTGATGTGAGATGGATGTCACACCTGACAAACGTCTGCAAACACAAAATGGCTTTAACTCATTTTACACACTGAGCTCAAAATGGTGTAGTAGTAGCTGGGACTAATCCACAACACACACACTGAGTGCCAACAGACTGAGACACTTTTAATATTTTGATACCAATTGTGATGGTAAACCTGCCAGTCTTTTGGCAAAATCATTTCATGAACCACTGGATGGATTTGAGAGAAACTCGGAAATTAATCACTGATGAGTACAACTGAAAAACTTAATCAGACTAAAAATAGCTGTCACAGCTAATTAAAAAACACACACAAACATGGCTGTATTCAGTCATTTTTTTACAGTTATTGAGCTAAGTCAACCTCAACTCAGACTCAAAGAGATAACAGAGCAGTAAAGATCCTGGTTAGTAATTTGACATATAAAGCAGCAGGTGATATGAATTCCTCTAAAAGATGCTACTTTCCCTTTTTGTGTTAGCTCCTTACATTCTGCTTTGATGGCTGCTGTGTTGACAGGGAGGTAGGGGTGTCTGGCCATGTATCGAGGCCGGATGATGTCCTGGCAGAGGCGCCGTGCAACCCGTGTCAGACTGGTGGTCTGCAGGTAAAACGCCTGTCGGGTCTTCACAGCAAACTTGGGGCTGCCGCTGTGCCGAAGGGGAAGGCCATGAGGGCTCTGAAATAAACAGGTCAACGTCTAGAAGTAAGTTTCAAACCTTTAACGTAGTTACTTGCACAGTTTCAGAAGACGTTTATTAGTAAGAAGAAGAATTTTGTGATTTATTCAATTTTGACCTAATTTATGGAGGCTAACTTTAGAGAAATGTACAAGTTTCTCTGTTACAGGACTGTTAATTATCAATTCTTTACCATTTCAAACAATATGTGTTCAAAAGTAAAGAAACAATAAATATTAATGAAGCAAAACCATACTTGTAAATAAAAACATACATAGCACCGATACACCTTCCAGTCATACAACTTAATTGTAAATCAATATTTTCAAGAGGAACAGTTCAACTTAATCATAAAAAAATGCTTTATTGTAACTTGTTAACTTTGTGTTAACACTTTTATTATCCTTTAATTTTATGACAATTCTCATTCCTTATGGGAAATTCTTGACCACCCTACGTAACTGCTTAAAAAGCATTATTTTCATTTATAAAAGACAAACATGCAGATTTTTAAGTACCATAAAGCACTGAATGCTCAGCTGATTTGAAATGTACACTCACCGGCCACTTTATTAGGTACACCACGCTAGTAACGGGTTGGACCCCCTTTTGCCTTCAGAACTGCCTCAATTCTTCGTGGTATAGATTCAACAAGGTGCTGGAAGCATTCCTCAGAGATTTTGGTCCATATTGACATGATGGCATCACACAGTTGCCGCAGATTTGTCGGCTGCACATCCATGATGCGAATCTCCCGTTCCACCACATCCCAAAGATGCTCTATTAGATTGAGATCTGGTGACTGTGGAGGCCATTTGAGGACAGTGAACTCATTGTCATGTTCAAGAAACCAGTCTGAGATGATTCCAGCTTTATGACATGGCGCATTATCCTGCTGAAAGTAGCCATCAGATGTTGGGTACATTGTGGTCATAAAGGGATGGACATGGTCAGCAACAATACTCAGGTAAGCTGTGGCGTTGCAACGATGCTCAATTGGTACCAAGGGGCCCAAAGAGTGCCAAGAAAAGATTCCCCACACCATGATACCACCACCACCAGCCTGAACCGTTGATACAAGGCAGGATGGATCCATGCTTTCATGTTGTTGACGCCAAATTCTGACCCTACCATCCGAATGTCGCAGCAGAAATCGAGACTCATCAGACCAGGCAACGTTTTTCCAATCTTCTCTTGTCCAATTTCGATGAGCTTGTGCAAATTGTAGCCTCAGTTTCCTGTTCTTAGCTGAAAGGAGTGGCACCCGGTGTGGTCTTCTGCTGCTGAAGCCCATCTGCCTCAAAGTTCGATGTACTGTGCGTTCAGAGATGCTCTTCTGCCTACCTTGGTTGTAACGGGTGGTTATTTGAGTCACTGTTGCCTTTCTATCAGCTCGAACCAGTCTGCCCATTCTCCTCTGACCTCTGGCATCAACAAGGCATTTCTGCCCACAGGACTGCCGCTCACTGGATGTTTTTTCTTTTTCGGACCATTCTCTGTAAACCCTAGAGATGGTTGTGCGTGAAAATCCCAGTAGATCAGCAGTTTCTGAAATACTCAGACCAGCCCTTCTGGCACCAACAACCATGCCACGTTCAAAGGCACTCAAATCACCTTTCTTCCCCATACTGATGCTCGGTTTGAACTGCAGGAGATTGTCTTGACCATGTCTACATGCYTAAATGCACTGAGTTGCGCCATGTGATTGGCTGATTAGAAATTAAGTGTTAACGAGCAGTTGGACAGGTGTACCTAATAAAGTGGCCGGTGAGTGTATTTTAAAATATGTTAATACTAATACAAATTTTTTTAAATTTTAATACATAATAAGAATGTGCTTAAATCATAAAGCATGAATTTCTGAAATAGAAAAAAAAAGTCAGGGGAAAAAACTCCCAAAAACAGCAAATTTTGTTTTCTGTTTTCTAAAAATGTAAAACATATAAACAGGTTTTCTGAATGTTTTAAAAACTGCTTTAAAAAACAGTGGCTCAGTTAACTTGAGACTGAATTATAAGAGTGTTATTTTCACAGCAATGAGCTTCAGGCTGACAAAAAAAAAAGAAAGGCAAAGAAAAACATTTGAGAATAGCTTGAAGTGAACCCAGTATTCAGGAAGACGTGTTTGTTTGAAGTTAGCTTGTACCGTGCTGGTGCGGTTGGGTCCTGGCCTCTCGCCGTCTAGTCTTGTGGGCATTTTTAAGCCTCCGTATTTCTTCCAGTAGGTCCAACATGAGGCACACAGACGACACTGCATGTTGGGAGGTCCCCACGAGTACCACTGGTACGAGCTGCTGGCTGCAAACATAAAACCACACGGGTGAGGAGCTCAGACTTTCCCAAAATAAAGTGAGGACAGAGTGGAAGACAGAAAAGCTTTTATTTAATCACAAATGCAAACATGAACGGGCCAAACTTTAAAAACAATGCAGATGCTGATTCAGCATTTACACAATTATTTTCCTGTTGTTGTTTTTTTTTACCTTTGTCATTCACTTTGTCAATCTTACTACTTCTGTATACCAGTACTTGGTGCATGAAAGGCAGCAGGTGATATGCATTTCTTTAAAGGGGCAATATCATGTAAAATCAACTTTGAGTTTTATATCATGTTATAATGTTATACTCTCATAAAAAACATGCCCAAAGCCTTGCTTTGACTCATTCATGCATGTTTGAGAAATCCTGCAGTGTTTTTAGGAAGCCATGCTGAGGAGCAAAACAACAGGTGGAGACCAGAAACGCCTTTTGGTACCAGAAACGCCCCTAAGACGTGTCTTTAAGCCGAACTTCCTCATCACGGAGCACACCTCCCACCCCCCGCCCCACACACCCCGTCCATGACTCCTGCAGGCTCTCGGCAGTAACAGAGCAAAGTGAAAGTGAAACTTAAACTGTCTGCTGAGATCCACTACTTCTCTCTTTTCAGATTCAAAACACCTTTGAGGAAATGTATTTTCAGATGCCAAGTAAACTGCATCATAGCGCACACGCGGACCCACCCCCGACCGAAACCCACTGGATAGAAGTGGAAGGTGGTTCTTAAAGAGACAGAGGTCAATTTCAAGGCGTTTAGAGGAGGAAGTGATGAGAAGACAAGTTTATTTGCTATTTAAACATAAAAACAGCATTTTAATAACAACTAAAGGTGACATAGATACTTTTTTCTGTTATAGTATTTAAATAAATGCCTGAGAAACACATAACATTGCCCCTGGAATACAAGGCCTTTCATTTTAAGTTCATTGTACGCTATATTTCAACCAAGTCTATTTATGTCTTTGTGAATAACCAAACTTAAAAATGACCATAAAACAGCAGCTGACTGACGGATCAATGATTTTTCTAAATCTACCAGTTAAACTGAACTAAGACTCTTGTAATTTACCAAACAATAATTTTCTAATCATAATAAAACATAAGTATAAAATGACAGTGCTATTAGATAAATGAAAGACTTACTGTAGCAGCTTTCACAGGCTCTGCCCAGGCCCGGGGTCTGCCCTGAGCCTGGTGGTCCAGGGGCCCCTGCACCTGCTGCTCCATTTAAAAGAGCTGGCTTTACGTTGTTGCTCAGCTGGTTCGGGTTTGGCTTGTTACTGACAGGGCACATGAACAGAGACAAAGAAGCAAATGTAAAACAGGCAGTCTTTGCAGTGCCAATGAGATCTCAGGTAATTTATTATTAAAATATATACCGTCATAATACACAACCAATTTAACAAATTTTCTACTTTAAAGCTTTGTCCACATGGGAGCATTCCAGGATTTTGTCACTGAAAATCTAGTTAAAAAACAAACTATGTATTAGCTCCCAAGAAGTTATTTTCTTGAAGATGCAAGGCTAACACGGCTGAAAACCTGTGTTTTTATGAAAAATGCTCCATGTGGACAGGGTCCAAGTGTTAGTGCTGGTACTATTCATTAACAAATGTGACTTTTTATGTACAGTCAGGTCCATAAATATTGGGACAGCTACACATTTCTCATCTTTTTTCTGTAAACACCACCATGTTGGATTCAAAATGAAACAAGATATGTTTTAACTGCAGACTTTCAGCTTTAATTTGAAGGTATAGGCAGGTACATCCAAATCATGTGAACGATGCTGAATTATAGCCTTTTGTAGATGTACATCCCACCTTTTAAAAGACCAAAAGTAATGGGACAAAATAAACAAATCAAACTTTCACATTTGAATATTTTGGTTGCAAATCTTGACTTGAGCTGAGCTCACAGGGGTGTTTTTTTTTTTTAAAGAATGTTTCGAACAGTTGATTTGGCCATTTCTGTCTCTAATGGGTTTGTTGTGATTTTTTTGGTCTAATGCTGGCCTACTTCACTGACGATGACAGCTCTTTGGATCTCGTACTGAGAGCTGACAGCAACAGATTCCAAATGCACACCCAACACTTGAAACAAACTCTAGACCTGTTTTCTGCTCCATGTACAGTAAATGGGATAATGAGGAAATAACACACATCTGACCAGTTAAGCAGCCAATCGTTCGATTATTTTTTTTAACATTTTTTTGTTTATAAGCTTCGGAGAAGGGTGGGATTAAATACGTTTTTGACTTCTTCCCATTCCCTTTCAAATATGTTAATTTTGTTAACTTTGTTTTCAGTTTTTATCATTTTTTGTTTTGTTTTGTATACATGTTTGAAATAATCTAAACTAAACTAAACTAAACTTGTAATTCGTACATTGTTCACATGATTTGGATGTAAATACCTTTAAATTAAAGCTGAAAGTCTGCAGTTGAAGCACATCTTGTTTATTTTATTTCAAATCTATCTTGGCGGTATTTATAGCCAAAAAGATGAGAATCACGTTGATGTTTCAATATTTATGGACCAGACTGTATAAAGCCAAAATAAAACAGCAGAAATTAACATTTTATTGGACGATCTTGTGATCTAAATGCAGCATACATTTGGTGTGGCATTTCTTTGATAAAACTATAGAATATCCCAAGATTTAGTGCTGTTAAAAGTTGTTCACACAAGATCTCTTTCTGATTGGAGTTGGTGCACTTTGCACACACTGCAAAAACAACAAACATGTTTCTTTTTTCTTCCACACATCAAAGTATCTTTTTTATTTATTTTTTCTTATTGTCAGGTAGTGTTTGTGCATACTATATCTTGAAAAGAAAAAAGGTAAAAAAAAAAAAAGAGTACTCACTAGTTGGGGATATAAACCTGCTTCAGTTTGCTCTCTGCTTCGGCTGCTTTTAATCGTTTCTGAAGCAGAAAAAGGTGGAGGAGAGAGAAAACAAAAACTCAGACTTAAACCTGATCCTTAACACCAATGTGAAATATATCTGGATTTGAAAGTTTAACAAAACACAAAGTGTTGTATAACGTGTATAGTTGATATTAACATAATTAATATTATAGTAGAAAATAATGTAACATTAGTATGATAGAAGTTACCTGCTGAACATATCTGTCAGTGGTTTTCCACATATAGTAATACTCAATTATACTTGTCAGTGATTTCCAGGGCAACTAGAAGAAGATACAACAAAACAAAAGTGGTTTTAGAGGAGTTGTTGTCATGCAGCAGATTTTAAACTTGGTCACAATCACAAAAGTCACAGATAAAACCATGAAGGAAAAAAATTGACTGAAACAATTAGCTGATTAACCAAGAGAAAAATTATCACTGATTTGATATTTAATTACTGTTAAGGTCGAGTGGCCAATTAACATTTTTATAGAACATTTTTGAGAAAATGCTCCCACAAAACTAAAGCTGTCTGACAAAGAAACATTATATACTTTCTGTAGTTACACTGCTTGAATTAAGATCCTTTTAGCAAGTCTGAAAGGAAACTGAGCTGAAGTAAGCCTTTAACCGTGGCCCCACCCGTGATGGTGGTGTCGTCCGGATGTATAAGAGCAGGTCTGAGAAGAAACATGAGCAGCACAGACAGAAGTCAGCCACCAGGTGGCAGAGTCACGCACACAGTGAAAGCCCACTGTGGATTAAAAACATCTGCTAACTGCAGCACCATTCTTCTCCGGCTGAACGAACATTAGTCCATGAGGAGCTACAGCCTCTCTGTCTTGGCTTTAAGCGTCACCATTCATTTAAAATGTTCAAGAGGTCTGTGCTCATTGTTTCTTGAAATAACCTTTTTACTCCTAAAACTGGGGAGACAGCAATGCTGCCTTCTAATACATTCTGAAGTAAGAAATTAAATACAGAAATAAAGGCCAAACATCTTCTTTGAGGTTCCTGCAAATGGGAAAAACTACTAAAGATATTAAAGCACTGAACAGCTGCCACTTTTCTTTTGTCTCAATCTGCATTATAATAATAAACATTTCAAATGCTTAAACCCCAAAAATTGTAGTTTCTAAGGAAAGACAAAGTAAATGTGAATATAATGGGAACAACACATCTCAAGTTAGTTAGACAGGAGCCACAAAAGGATGTGACCTTCGGGGTTATTATTAAAAACAAGTGGAGAAGCATTTTGAAACTAATCAACTCAATTAGCAACAAGAGGTTCAACGGTCTGCAAAATAATAATTTTATAATAATGTTCCTCAGTAAGAAATTGGGAAGACTTTAAATATTCTATCATCTACATTTTATCATTAACAAAATACTTCATAAATATTGAGAAATCTGAGCTGTAAGTCAGTATTGGATCCCCGCGGTATTTGAGCCCTCAGGGACCACTGCACTAAAACAAGTCTGAAGCCTCATTCAGAAGACAGCTCAGTCCAGGACTGACGGCTGTTCTGTCCTCCTCGGATCATTCAGAATAAATACATAGGTGGTAAGGGGGGTAAAGTGAGCTGACACCCCTCTAAGCCACCAAGCAAGGTAGTATCAGAGCCAGGCCTGAGCCGGGCAGACCGACTTGTGAAAAAGCAACCCGTGGTTCTGTGGCAGATTTGTAAAGTATGTACAAATGCTTTGTTATTGTATTTACGTAGAAATTTTGTTTATCTGTACTTTACTTAAAGGYACAGTGTGTAGGATTTGTTGTTTTCAGCGACATCTAGTGGTTGAGTGGTTGAACCATCCTCCCTGGTCCTCCCCCCACCCCCACCCCCCTCCTTCCAAACACAAAGGAGTTGCTACGGTGTCTCTCAGGTGTCAAAAACCTTTGATAATTCCAACCGCGATGTCTACCAGCAGCTTCAGGGCTAGTGATGTTTCAAGTGGTAAGATTATGAGCTTTAATAAGTAAAATTATCCCAGCTACAATGACAGACAACAAATATTACATTTATAGTATTACAACTAAAACCGTTTTTGACGCCGCCACCGGAGTTTGTCCTTCATGAGCCTTCGTAGACAAGATGGCGG